TGTGTGTGTGTGTGTCATTTACAGTTGGCTTGATAGTTGCCATCTAGATGGCAACTGTAGATGATAATACAGTCTCCAGTTTCTCCTCACACATAGTTGATGTCGTTCACTCAATCCTTTCTCACTGTTCCATGTTGTTCCTTTAGGGACATTAAAAATGACATTTCACATCAAGCAAAATACTCAATGCAACACTGGGCTTTGATCTGAATTACACAGACCATATCAATTATATTTACATACAAACATTATGCAGGATATGTAAACCTTATTGTGATATTCTTATCACTTGCATTTATTTTCAGTCAGTTAAGTTTTTATGTGTGTGTGTGTGTGTGTGTGTTGTTCCCATGCGTGTGTGTCTTTACTAATATGCATGTAGACTTAATTTACGAGCATGAGTCCAAACCTCTGGGACTGAACAACTCCGAACACATGATTAATTCTTCACAGCTGATATCGAAACATGTTTGCTCTTAACCCTCAGGGAGTGTGTGTGTGTGTGTGTGTGTGTGTGTGTGTGTGTGTGTGTGTGTGTGTGTTTCTTTTGCTCATAACTCAGTGTTTAATCCTGTTGTGAACATGCATACTGGCACTTAACTCCACAATTGACATTTGCATGGAGATAACCCACTCTGCATGATGTGTTTCTCTGACCTGCACAATGTGCACATGTTGATCATGATCATAAATACCAAAACTGCTGTTACTGATGATACCATGGGATACTATGTTTTTATGGTCCCTGTAAGGACATTTGCTCTGGACTCATTACCATAAAAATGATACATTCTACATAGTAATGGATAATAGACACTAACATATCACCATATGGTTTACGTACATACACGGCTTGCACATACACAACAAGCGAACACACCTGCTGACAATGGCAACATGTTGCAAGACCCTTATGGCCAACATCTCCATCCATGTAGCTTCTCAACACTCACAAATAACATTACAAGTCAGTGTTGAAAGTTTATAGAGGACATATGCTCATTTTCAGGTTCATATTTGTATGTAGTGTCTCTCCTGTGACATGTCTCCATGTTTTAATGTTCAAAAAGCGCTTTATTTTTCTCATACTGCCTGTGCTGCAGCACCTCTATGGGAGAGGGAAAACCCCAACAAGTATACAAGGGCCTCTTTAATACACATATACATGAATGAGTGTTTTAGCAGTTCAGCCAGTTAGTAAGAGCTAAAACTCTGTGGGTTGGACTTGTCACAGTTGTGTGGAAACTAATCTATTTTATGGTATTGTCAATATCTGAGTTATTAGGTTAAATAATTGCTGACTAACTTCTGTAGTCAAACATTTACTTTTAGTATGTACATTCTAAGGTTTCCCAGGTGAAGCTGATTACGAGAGGGTTAGACGAGTGATCTGTGATTTACACTGTCTAGTCCATATCTTTGGATGCTCTAACACGGCATGGTAAAGTAATAGCATAAACTTCTGCACAACTCCGCAGACACTAAATCCTTGTTGAACTTTAGAGCAGAGATTTCAACATGGTGTAACATGAGTTGTGTGCGTTACAGCTGAGCTTATAGCACCAAAGAGCCCAAGGGCCCTTAGAGCCATCAAAGAGCCAGTACATCCCTGAGATGGGCCTGAGAGTCCTTGTTTCACTGATTTGAAAATACAGTCGTGTGGCAGAACATGGAGAAGACCCACTAAGTGAACAAATGGCAAAACCTCTCCTTACTCCAGATCACTGGGGGGGGGTTTCATTGCTTGCACATTGTGGCAAAAAAGCAACCTGCATGTTCCACAACAATGTACTGGACCAAGCTGCACTTTTTGGGGGTATTTTTTGTCTGTTTGTTTGCAACACTGAAGGCAGGAATGACGAAAGCAGTTTATTTGTTGCTATTTGACCTCCACTTTCTTAGACACAGGCAATGGCAATAGGCAGTCCAATTAAAAGTGGCCGCGAGGGGCTAAATAGGGGAAGATAAACACTTTGACACGCTCAAAAAATTGCTCGACAGTTTTCGTTTGACCAAAAATACTATATATCCAGGTGCCAATAACTTAAGTGTGATGACGATGCCACTGATGGTTAACCTGTTAACCCCGGGGGCGGGGGCTCCTGCAACATCTTGCAAGAAACAGCGTCCGAGGGCTTCTTAACAAACTATGAATGTGTCATACCCACTTAATGGGAAGAAACTCAGCTACCTGACGATATGAACCATTTTTACCGAAACAAAACACAAGTCTAACGCCGAGCCTCTGAATTAGCACTAAGCAAAAGAGTGCTAACGCACTTAGCACGGTAGAAATATGTGAATATGGGAAAACAAAGACAGGAAGTTCAACAAAGTGGAAACATTCTACACAAAAACCAAGATCAGGACAACACTACACATTTAAAATGTTATATATGTGAAAGAATAAGCCAAACCAAACAAGTTATTCTTCATCTCCTGCCAGGTGAGCTGCTTATTTAGCTTTAGCTCGTTAGCAACATGCAACATTAGCATTGGCTAAATTACATTACATTACATTACATTACATTACATTACATTACATTTAGCTGACGCTTTTGTCCAAAGCGACTTACAATAAGTACATTCGACCAGGAAGACACAACCTTGAAGAAAACAGAATCATATAAGTACATCAGGTTTCATAGAGCCAAACATTTCAAGTGCTACTCAACTGGCTTTAGGTAAGCCAGTCCTTTATTAGTATATAAGTGCTTCGTTAATAGTTCTAACGCTCGAAGTGGAGTCGAAAGAGATGAGTTTTCAGTCTGCGCCGGAAGGTGTGCAAGCTATCTGCCGTCCTGATGTCAATGGGGAGCTCATTCCACCATCTTGGAGCCAGGACAGCCTGAGAGAACTCTGACTCTTATCTCAAAACACTCGTAAACATGTTGTGAAGTTTGTAGAATATACTAGGACTTGACTTATTATAAAGGACAGAATTATACTGATGATAGAAATACTCAGAATGAACGTCCGATGATGATCAATCATCATGATAAATGATAAATGATTCCCCAGGACACAGAGAGATGTGTCCCTATGATGTACTTATTTTGTGAGACAATTTGGTGCACAATGGTGCGTGTGTGTGTGTGCGTGTGTGTGTGCGTGTGTGTCTGTGTGTATTAAATGGACATCTTATGAAGGTGACTGTGGAAAGAAACCTTACCTCCCTCTTGGTGTCCTCCCGTGAGTCTCTTTCTCACCATCAGTCCCACCTCCTTCCGCTAATTTTTTACTTTTTTCTATTTCTGGCCGTCCCCATCTCCCTCTGGTCCAACTCCACTGTCTGACCTCTCTCTCTCAATAACAACTTAATTGAGTGTCACCAAACAAAAGCCGGGAACATCTAGCATCTTCTCCTCTGAATCAAGCAGCAACCTCCAGGGCCGGGCAATGAAGGGCCAATAACTGCAGTTCATCTAATGGTCACTTGAGACTGGCTCCAAAGGGGAGTCAATCTCTAAAGTGCAGCGATGACATATTCTTGTAGGCTGTCCTAGGAGTCGGTTCCTCAACAAAAATGCATTGGGATTTTTGAATTGGATTTTGTAAATGGCCTTAAGTTACACATTTTTAGCAGCATTGCTACTTTTAGTGACAGGAAGATGCTTTCTTATGTTGCTAGCGTTTAGCCCAATTGCAACTAACATTTTAACATTCGCCGGAGTTTGACGGTTGCTTGAAGATGAAACATATGTGTGACGTCAAGAAGAGTTAATCTCTCTTTTACATTACATGTCACTTGTTAGACGCTTTTATCCAAAGCGACTAACATACTCAATACTGTGGGCAATCCCCACAGGAGCAATTTGGGGTGAAGTGTCTCAGGGACACAACGACATGCTGACTGCAGTGGGGTTTGAACCTGTGCCCCCCTGAGCCCAACACCAAGGCTCTATCCACTGCGCCACACGCCTCCTTATACAGTCAGTGGTGTCTGTGAGTGTGTTGCTGCTTGTTTTCATGACTATCAGATGCTGCTTAAACTTAAACGACTCTATTTGAACAACACCTGTGGAATTAGAAATTCTAATAAAAAAAATTCTAATAAAAACTAACTGACTGAAAATAAATGCAAGTGATAAGAATATCACAATAAGGTTATCGAATGAAAACGTATTACAATGTTTCCATTATGTTGATTGCATTTTGAAAGATTTACCTATCCTGCATAATGTTTGTATGTAAATATAATTGATATGGTCTGTGTAATTCAGATCAAAGCCCTGTAAACGACACACACACACACACACACACACACACACACACACACACACACACACACACACACACACACACACACACACACACACACACACACACACACACACACACACACACACACACACACACACACACACACACACACACACACAACACACACACACACACAAACACACACAGATATATTTGATTAGATAATAATGATTTGGATTCAAGTGGGTGTTTCGTCTCTCCACTCACACCACCCTCAACACCTCTTTATAGTTAGCCTTATGTTGCCATGGCGATGGACACCTGTGTCCCTGTTGTGTGTTCCTGCACGTCAGAAGAGGTGACAAGGGGTATGAGTCATAACTCGACTGTGTGAAGTTTACACGATTCTGTGTGTGCAGGCATGCGTGTGTACTGAATCATCTCGAATCGTCTCCCTAAATCCTGATGACGGTGATATGTTGGTGATGTCACTCAAAATGGAAACCCTCATGAATTCAAATGAAACTTCCCCAGAGATGTATTGACATAAGGCTGATAGTAGTGCAGTGGGTGGTCTGATACTTAAGCCCCAAGTAATCTGTGCGAATGTATGTAAAGCGCTTTAAGGGGTCATAAAGACTGGACAAGCGCTACTGTATATACATGCAGTTAATTTACCATTTATATATGAATGTAGCCCAAATGCAGCCCATTTAAGCCCAACAACATTGAGCTTTTGCAATCATTTTTGAAGTGAAGTTTCTCTCAACGTGTCTCTTTCTCATTCCCTCCCTCAGAAACCTGTCCAAGAATCCCAAGCTGACCACACTCTCCTGGCAGATCTTTGAACACCTGCAGCTCTTCGAACTGTAAGTCGACCAGTGTTCTTTACTTGCCTCACACTGTTAAATGTTGAAACAACCTAACATCAAGAGTCCGTTGTGATGTCACATCTAATCACAAGAGGTCTACTGTATATAAGGCCTATATAAGCACCTATATATATCTTTTAGGATGATAAGGTTTTCTTCAGGGCGGAATCTGAATCGTACAGCACGACCGTGTCATTGTAATATAAATGCTAGTTTCAGATGGATGCAGTTGTCATTTTCATGTCCAGATTATGGGTGTTTAACTAGCCAATATGAAGTTGGTAATGCACTGTCCACTTAATGCAATATGAATGCAAGAATCCATGCAACCTTCTAAATAGGGGCCAAAAGAGTGGACATTTTGTCATAGTAATTATCTCAGTGTTAAAATTGTCTTTTTTTTTATCACACAGATTTTTTATCCAAGATTTACTTTGGGCAAAGCTGTCTATTTTAGGATTTCTCTGACCACATTGACACCTTGCTGCTGCCAATGTAACCAACATATGTTCTTGCCATTTGTGTAGAGGGCCTTGCTCAAAGGCTCCTCAGAGATTGTTAGTTAGAAGGGGCAAGGTCTTCTCTCCACTTTACCCTCCAGATATATCCTCAGTCTGGGGAGTTCCCGTCACTACCTGGCTCTGCCCTGGTTTTACAGCAGAAATACACAAAGGAACCCAACATGCTGAGTCATCATGTCCTAAATATAATTAGACATTACATAACCGCTGTGCTCTCATGATCATGGTAACACTGCTCGTCTTCATATCAAAGAGTGAAATCTAAAAGAGGAGGGTCTTTACCTGTCTCGAGGGGCAGAGACCTCCTCAGTGAGGTTACACGCTCCACCTCATCTCCATTTCAAAGCTTTTTCCTCCTGTGATGATAATGTCCTTGTTTCAAAGTCTTTGACTCTAATGCTGCTGTTGCTGCTTGAAACTGTAGCTACAGGGAACAACACAAATACAATCTGTACTGGGAGTATAGTCACATTTAAAAGTATCACATGGCTGCTGTCCATGGAGCTGAATCCTCCATTTGTAGGGAGATCTGTCTGGACTACTGGAAATTGAAGCAACATGCTTTTTCTTTTTGAATATTATGACAGCGGCTTTATAATAAATACTTCCCCATGTTTTATTTTCTCTGCATGATTCCTGAAATGAACTGCTGCTCCTTCACACGCTCTGTGAAGAGAGCAGCAAAATGTACAAGGCTGAAATATGTTTAGAAATCAGGGACATGAAAAGCAGAGGAATGAGAGGGAGAGTGTGAAAGTCTCACCTCTAGCTGGAGGATAAAAAGATGTGCTGGATAATGGCATGACAGAAAGTCTAGGACTTTTTCAGGAGAGTATGCAGTGACTAGAATGAATTGGATCGGTAAGAGGTGATCTGAGAAAAGCTCCATTGAAGTTACTGCTTCATTATGGCTGTATGTCAGCGGCCATGTTTGTTGTGAACAAGGGAAACTGTCCTGAAAGTCAACCCTTCATTAGTCCTGTAAGATGTGATGTCACCTCACGCCCTATCTAGTCCACCCAAACAAAATGTCTACCAGTTGAATGGACAACAAGATATTTCTCCAAAAATGAAATGTGTAAGAAGGCAAAGTAACCAACAATTACTTTGTTCTGTAGAAATGGTTGATGATTTGATGACTTTATCAAATATTTCCTAAATAGTCTTCAAGTATGCAATCTATGGGAACACACAGTATATTTGCCGATCAGGCTTATAATTCACTTATACACAGAGTTACTCAGGAACTTTTTATACTGTAATACACTGACTTCCATTCAGCCACTTTCTCCCATATGGCATTTTCTTGTTATAACAACATACAGGCACAAGCAAGTCCTGTGAGACAACAATATACTAATACAAATAATAATACATTTCAGTTACATAGGGATTCTCTAAATACTCAACCTAATTTTGCTAAAACATTTCATACAGCAAAAAGATGCAGTATGACAAACTACAATATAAAGGATTATGGACTGGTTTTAGCAGTAAAAGCTAGTTTGTAAGGGTTGTTTTTTAGGGCCTGTATGAAGGATGGTAGGGTGGCTGACTGTCTGATGTGGTTGGGAAGAGGAGGGTGCAGCAACAGAGAAGGTCTTCGCATGTTCGAGGCAGCGGGTGTTACAGGGGAAGGGGGTCCTTTCTTTAGGGCTTTGTAGGTGGTGCAGTATGTTGAAGTCTATCCTCTATTTACTGGGAGGAAGTCGAGGTTGTGATGGACCAGAATGATGGGGTCTCGGTGTCGGGTGGAGGTGAGTTGGCGGGTGGCAGAATTCTGTTTATTGGTGATTTTGTGTTTTGGGCAGCTGGAAAGTAGAGGGCCGTTTGGAGTCGGGCAGTGTTCTTGAGGTGGAAAACAGCAGTTAGGTGATGTGGATGGAATGCGGTAGAGGAGAGGGTGAGGTCAAGGAACATTGTTGCAGGGCTGGATGTGGGGGGTGACGTTTGAGCTGTCAATATTTAGTGAGAATTACTTGGCAGAGCAGGTGAGGACGTTTGGGAGGGATATTTTAGTATTTATGATTTTTTGCAGTTGAGTTGTAAGAACCCTGTTGCATTCATCTACGACAGGTTTGAGTGGGTGGGATAGAGTTATTTGCTGTTGTAATAAAAAAGTTAATGAGGAATAATTTGGTAAGATGTGTGAAAAAGCTGAGATTAGCTGAGGTAATATAGGCCTCTTAGGCCTGTCATGATCGGTACTTAATTATCTGTCTATATTTACTGGTTCCCATTCCACTGATTTAAACAGTGATATTTCAGGAATTAAAGTTTATGTTGCAACTCCAACTGTGGATACTGTGAAAGAACGCACTGTATATATATCTTTATATATAAAGATATGTGTGTGTTACAACATGTTCTGCCAACTTGAGCCTGTGAACAAGCCTCCAGCGATGCTCTCTGGGATATTTAAAGCAGCGCTGCTTGGATGCTAATAGTGTGATATTTCAAGCTAAGAGCTGGTGCAGGCTGCTGGGGCTATTTGCAGCGCTGAGTGTGGGAGACTCACTCACACACACACGCACACACACACACACACACACACACACACTTAAACACACAGGTCAACACTTGCTTACTTGCACTTGTGATTGTGGTTCTGGATGTGTGTAAGCCTGTATGATTCATGTTTTGTGAATAACAGTTATTAGAGGCATTAAGGCATGTGGAACTGCTCTTCAAATCTACAGTAGATATAAATTAAATAATTGTTTTTGTTGCAATCACATATTTTCAAACCCTTCTCCCCCGCTTTAATCCAACTGCCAAACTCAATTTAGTCAAACCTTTTTAAATGTCATACAAAACAACTTTCCATCAGAAAGGAAATAAATGAAGCAAAGAGAGCATCCTTTAGTAAGTACAGATAAGCCACTTTCTTCAGACTTGTAGACGTACAGTGTGAGGAGCGCAGTGTTAATCTGCAGGAGCAGCTGGATCAGTACTTATTTAAAACACACACACACATACACACATATACACACACACACTTTAAGGTTAGTTTTCACGTTACAATGAAGTTCTGTTTAGAGCAAGGGTTAAGATTAGGCACTTAGTTTTGTTGGATAAGTTTAGTGGAGCGTGAAGCAACAGAATGACTTGAAAATTAATGAAATTCAAAATAAAAAAATCCATTATTTACAGCAAAAATGTCAGTCCAGATGAATGGTGAACACTATAAAAAAGAGAGAACTAACATATTGAATATAGACACAAGCACACGTCAGTAAAAAAACAACAAATAAAACTATGTAAACATCCATGCTAAAGTGTCTCTTTTTCAAGGGAGACCTGCAGCAAGTAGGTTACACATGAAACATAAAACAACATAAAACAATTAAGGACATCACACATCATATTTACAGGGCTACATTGACATACCTATCAACATTTAGAGGTACCAACAGTATCAAAGAGCATTGCACTTATCCGAGCTTTCAAAACATGCAGTGTAACCAAATTGCTCAGTTTAAATTCTTTTTGCAGACTTATCCAAGCAAGAGGAGCTATATCGTACAAGCTTTCGTCCCTAAGTCAGTCCTTGCACTTGGCACATGTAACAAGACCACATCATGTGATCTCAGGCAATAGATACTTGCAACTCTCTGTGATATTAGGGAGATGTAAGGTGGTAGTTTACTCAACATGGCTTTATATATGAAAATGTACCAATGACTGAGCCTCCGTACAGTAAGTGAAGGCAAACCTGCCTTGGCATACAGGGTACAGTGATGAGTAAGTGCTTTACAATTAGTAACAAATCTCAGTGCGCTGTGATAGGCGGCATCTAACTTGTTCAGGCAATGGGCAGGTGCATTCATATAGATCAGATCACCATAGTCCAGCACAGGTCAAAAGGTCACAGAGACTAGCCTTTTCCTGGCTTCAAAAGAGAAACAGGACTTGTTTCTGAAAAAGAAACCTAGTCTAACCCTCAGCTTTTTAAGAAGGTTATTGACATGAAGTTTAAAAGAGAGACAATCATCAAGCCAGATACCTAGGTATTTATAACTGGTAACCACTTCAAGTACTTGTCCTTGCATAGTAACAATATCCAAAGCAGTGTCTGTAGTCTTTTTAGCTTTAGAAAAGAGCATTACCTTGGTTTTTATCAACATTTAAAATAAGCTTAAGTTCAGCGAGCTGAGTCTGAATAATGTTAAAAACAGTCTGTAATTTAACACCAGCCTCCTTAATGGAGGGACCTGCACAGTACATCACGGTATCATCAGCATAAAAATGTAAAGTTGCTCCATCCACATTTTCACCTAAACTGTTGATATATATGGAGAATAAAAGTGGACCTAAAACAGAACCTTGTGGAACACCATTAGTGATGTTTAACCACTCAGAAGACAGCCCATCAAAGTGAACACATTGGGACCTTTCAGAGAGGTAGTTCACAAACCACCCTACTGCATGGCTGGACATGCCAATACTGAGTAGCCTCTGCTTCAGGATTTGATG